CGCCTTTCAATCGATCATTCGGCTCCTAGTCACACTTGATCGGAGTTCCGTGGTCGCTCCACGTCAATCGCCCCCTGCGTGTAACGGGACTGTACAGCGGTTCACTCGCACGCAAGCCCTAACTGCCACACCATACCCCGGATCTTATTCTTCCGACGCTGATCGACCGGCATGCCATCCGCATCCTCTGCACCCTCTTCAGCGCCAGGTGCGCCCAGCACCAACGCGCGCCCGTCTACTGCAGACTCCCCTTCTGTTGCGTATGCTTGTTTATCTCTTGGTGTTGTGACTCTTGCTCGTCTTCCGCATTGTGTCCTTCAGCACCCGGTTCTCGTGCTCGTGCGTTGCTCCCGTCGTTTGTGTTGCCGACGGTACTCATCGTGCTTCCTACGCTGGACCTAGCTTCCGTCTGTGGGGCCCTGGATCATCCCGCGGCCGTAGTGGACCGTGCCAACGCATTGGAGTCTCTGGTCAAAGACCACCACGCTCTGCAGCTGGTCTGTCGTGATTTGCGAGCTCGCGTCCACGAGCTGGAGCAGCAGATGGACGATAACTTCGCTGCTTCGAAGCCATTCGTCGAGTTCTTTGAGCACAAATATTCCATTGTACTCGACCAACGCAATCGGGATCAGGCGGACCTTGGGGTGGCGTTGGACGAGCTGCAGGATCGTCGCGATGATTCCGCCGAGCTCCTGGACGTGCGATCCCGTCTCCAGGCGACTCCCAGCGACCACAACGAGGAGCTGGAGCGTCTACATCGTGAGTTCGACGGCTTAGAGTCACGTCTACGTGCTGCTCGAGCAGCTGCAACCCAAGCTTCCCCTGCCGACGTGCGTCGCTTTGCTGCCCTCCATCGTGAGTGTGATCAACTACGGGACGATCTACGCAACGCTCACGATGCATTTCGCACTCAAGGCGTCGCTCTCCATAGCGCCGAGAACACGATCCGCGCTCACGAGGACCACCTGAAGAAGCTGGAGGGCTCTGAAGCCCACCTTCAACGCCACGTCAGCAAGTTGGAGTCTCGGATTGGTCGTGCGCAAGCTCATCTCCAGCGTACCTGTGAAGAGCGGGACCGGTTCAGCGACGCGGCTGCTGTTGCGGAGGCTGCTACCCGTCGCTGCACCTCAGAACTGGACGAGATCACCACTGCCAGCGACAAAGCTGTCGCTGCTTCCCACACTTTTAGTACATTTGACACTGGTCTGACACTGTGCATTTGCTAATCTTGTTCCTTTGTTTATAGCATTGCGGGCGGCTTCTCTCCACGGCGACGTTCGACTGGAGCAAGACGCTGATGCGACGCGTGTTGATCAGGAAGAGTTTCAAACTCTTCAAGTTCAAGTTGGCGTCCTTCTGCAGAAGGTGGAAGATGTCTCTCGTGAGAACAGTGCGTTGAGCCTCCGCGTCTTGGAGGATAAGACGGGCTGTCACGTCGCTGAAGAAGAGCGTGACCAAGCCTCTGCCGATCTCCTCGCCCTGCGGTCTCAAGTTGCAGGTTTGATTTCCTTGGTGCAGGCCACTCCGGTTGCTCTTCCCGCGGCTGATGTTCCTGCCGCCGATCCGTCCTCCGTGAGTGATCGCCCCCAGGATGGAGCCAGCCGCAAACGACGTTCTGCTCAAGATCCTGACGAAGTCACGCCTCCTCCACGCTCAAAGCCTCGGCACGGGTCTCCTCGCTCCAACAACCATTCTTCGGAGCTCGATCTCTCCGGCGCTCAAGATGATGTGTCCGTCTGTTCTGATCCTCCAGGACGTCACGGCGTCAGTCGCCTCCGCGGTTTACGTCCTTCCGGCCGTGATGGCATCGGCCTGTCACCTTCCGGCCCGTCGTTGAGTCGTCTCCGGCGTGGCGATGCTCGGCCCGACTCGGCTGATCACCTCCGTGATGCCGACTCGAGCAGTAACGACTCCGTGATGCACGCCCTATCGGGTCGCCGCACTTCGTCTCTCCTCCTGTTTCGTCTGACCTTGCTGGTACCGCGCGTGACCGTCCGATCGAGTTGGAAGGAGACGACACGGATGGCGGTCACGCTGGATCTGGCCGAGCTAGTACTCCCATTCGCGGTGGAAACGTCCGTGATCCTGTTGCCGTCCATGCAAGTAGTGCCCCCTAGTTGGTATCTCGCAATGAGCTGTTGACGCCTGCCGCCTACGCGCAGTTGTCTCCGAGTTGTGTTGACCGTGCACACTGGCTTCCTGGATACCGCGCTCGTGTAATCTTTTCTGTGGCTGACGCAGCTCCCTGGCCACTGTTGGACATCTAGCAAATCAGCGTCCTTGAACTTGACGTTGCGATTTTGTTCATCCGCTTTTCCAAAACCCCTAACTGGCTATTTCGGAAGCTAGAGCCCGTGCCTAACGACTCCGATTGGGACGCGGCACTCTTGGACGAGGGCAACGTTTCGGCAGTCTACGCTTCCACACCATGGGGAGTTCTCGCGAAGCCAGTGACGTCCATCTCCTTTGAGAGGGACGTCCTCCCTTCCAGACCTTGTCGCGGAAACTGGAAGAGTTGCAGATGAAGCATCGTCAAGCTGCGTGGGAATGCACCCATTCCTTTCCCATATCAGAAGATTTATGGCGAACCGTAAAGTACTTCGCAATACTCTAGGCGGAGCGCAGGCAGCGCCGGTCATGTTTTGGTGCTGCCTGGAAGAGCTCCCTCAAGATCGTGTTGCTGAGCATCGCGGCTGGACACTGCAACCTCAGCATTCTTCTGGATCCTGTCTTCCTCCATTTTCCGCGCCCTGGTGAGCAGTCGAAATGGTATCCTGGTCTACACTGCACCCCGCGGCCTGTTAACCTGTGTCAGGCTCTTCGTGACGCTGACCGCCAAGATCCCTGGCGCAACTAGTATCGCCACGCTATTGAAGATCATCCCGGTTCCCAACTTCCCCGTCTGGAGGGTAAGTTTATCCCTCTGGAGTAGCTTCAGTGTCTGATAAGCTGATCAACATAGTCGGCGCCCTGCGTCTCTCAACCCCGTTTGTCTTGACCTTGTTTGTATCATGCTGCGTTGGGCTAGTTCCTTCGTTGTTTCGAGGCTGACTTCTCCTGTTTTGTAGTTGCGCATGTTCTCGTGTCGGTGACTGGTTGACTGCGTCGATGGAGATGTATTCCCTTCATGCCTTCCCACCCTCGAAACCTCTGTTGCGCATGGCTTTACACGACACCGGCTACACTTCTCGCCCGGTTGTCAGCTCTCTGCATCAGCTCTTCGCCCCCATGTCTTTGTTCACCATTCTCTTGTTCCTCGACCGTCGGCTCGATCATCGACTTCGTCTGTTTGTTAAGATCATCGATCTCGGTCAACCGTCTCGATCTTCGATCTCAATCAGCCGTCTCGATCATCGATTTCGATCATCCCTCTCGATCATCGATCTCGATCAACCGTCTTCCGGGGTACGTAAAGCCATTCATCATTCGGACTCCTCCTCTAACTTCCGATGTTCCCTCTTTTTTCCCGGTTGTTACCAGGTGTCTTCACGCATTATACAAATACCTATCCACCCAGTGTGTGGCCACCCCACACACCCCCCCCGCCGATGACTTACTCAGCGTCCATCCCTTCTTCATGGGCTTGCATCACGTTGAAGCGGTTGCGGCTGGTACGTCCGCGCTCATACTCGTACAACAAAGCGGCGCAATTGAGGTCGACTTCGTCCACCCAAGTCTGCTGGTCATAGCCTTTCCAATAGACCTCGAATTCCCACCGCCCATATCGGGTGCGTCTCCCTGACCGTACGTCCGCGATCCGTTCCACCTCGAATCCGTCTTTGTCCAGCGGAATGTCCCAGCTATCGCCAGGCAGCAGTTCTTCATCGAAGTCTACCCGATCGTCGTATTCGGTGTTCAACACGACCTTTGGCCGATCTGGGAATGTTCGCACTGGCTTCAACTTCGACAGGTGTACTATCGGGAAGATTCGATACCCTGATCCTGCGGTCTCGAGACGAGCTGCGTGATTGCCGATCAGCTCGGTAACGCGAAACGGTCCATGCCACATGTGTGCGAGCTTGCGGGCGAACCTTCCTTTACGCGTTCCAGGTAAAGCCATACCTGTGTGCCTTCCTCAATCCGGCGAGGTCTAACGTTTTCGTTGTGTCGGTCAGCCCTAGACTTGATCGTCTCGCGCAGATTCTCGTTACTGTTTTCCTGGCTCTGCGGTATTGTCCCTGTATGTGGTACTTCCATCTCCGTGCATCGCAATCGCGGCAGCGTGTCGATCCCACCGAAACAACTGCTTCAAGTGTCGACTGCGGGCCCCATCCATGGACTAGGAAAAACGACGTTTCTCCCCTCACTCGATCGTGCGCCGTATTCAGCGCAAACGTCAGCCGCTTGCATAGTCGTCCCAGTCTTGCTGGTTGACGTCTGCAACGTACATCTTCAGGGCTCGTGTCAGGGTTTGTACCGTTCGCTCGGCCTTGCCGTTCCCTTGTGGACGGTAAGCCATTGTTGCGCTCAGTCTCATTTTTCACGATCAGGTTGAAGGCACGGAAGAAGTCCGACATAAAGCCCGGCTCCGGTCATGTCTGGTGATTTCGCTTGCGCCGAAACACCGGAAGACCCATTCCTCGTAATTCTCAGCCACTACCGGCGCCTTTCTCGACGGACCAGCCTTGGCTATTTCATAACCGGTGAACAAATCGGCCCAAATCAGCAGTTCGGTGTTTCCTTTGAACGACTTCGGCAACGACGGAATGAGGTCCATGGAGATCACCGGGAAGGGATATGTACCCTGGATATTTTTTGGAGATTCTCCCTGGCCCGTTGACTTTCCCGGTTTCGCAGTCGGTACATTCCCCCAGGTAACGCTGTACACTTCGATACAGCCCACGCCAGTGAACGTTCGCCTGGATCCTCCGGTATGTCCTCCCGACGCCTTGATGGCCTCCTTCTAGGCTGGCATGATAATGGTGAAGGAAGTCTCGCTGCAAGCTATCGAGTATCACCATCCTGACGACACCGTCGCGATCTTCGCCTCGTTGCAGTATCTTGGGGCAAAAGAAGAGTACCCATTCGCGGCTATCTTCGAGCATGCCTTCGCCTCTTCTGCTGTCAAGGCACTCACTTCCCCGTCCAGGTACATCTTTGGATGTGCAATCCACTTCTCTTCTTCCTGAGCTTGCCTAATCCTCTGACACCGTATGCGCTGTATGATAGATTCTTCCATCGCTTTCGGTGTGTGTCGTTGTCTCTCAGCGGCTCGTGTGATTGCATTTACGCTGACAACTGCTTCGATCAACTTTGGCTTCAACATTTCGCCCAGTCGGTTGAGGGTGATCAAATCTTGATGGGCGTCCTCTGAGGTGACTATTTCGCCTGCTTCCCGTTGCAGCGCTGCACTTGCCAACTTGCCCGCACTCTGGTTCCATTCACGTTTCACGTGGAGGAATTCGTGTCTCGGCCACGACCGCAGTCGGTTTAGCGCCTTCTGTCGGAGTAGTTACAGGCCTGGTGCTTTGCAGTCCATCTCACCCTGCATCTGACGAATCACCAAGTTCGAGTCTCCACAAATTACGACGCGCCCTCTGTCCAAGGTCGAGAGCAATTCAAAACAAAGAATCAGACCACGGTATTCCGCCTCGTTCATTGTCAAGTCCGGCATGTACTCCGACATGGCTTCCACCACCGTCCATTCCGGGAGTTTCCACACGACTGCGCTATATGCACCGCCGCTGCGCTTCACTCGCGCAGATCTGTCAAAACGCACCACAAAGAGGTTCGCGTCTGGTTCGATCGTTGGTGAAGGCATGGTGTTCATTTTCCGTGGCTGTTTCTTGGGTGCTATCGCGACTAGGGCTTCGTCGACATCGGCTCGCGGAGTGATGCTAGCTGCGATTGTTCCGAGGATTTCGTCTTCACCCTTCACACATTTTGTGACTTCCAACGTCCATCCTGATAGCAGTGCTGCCCACCAACCCAGTCGACCGTCGAACCCGTTCGACTTGAGCTGCCAGGCCAATGTAGAGAATCGTGACAGGACCTTGATCGATCTGGTTACCAGCTGTGAGTAACAGACGTCCAAGTTTCGCAGAAGCGCTAATACGTCCTTATCCACCACTCCATAGTTGAGTTCGTTTGCCTTCAGCGTGCGACTGGTGAAGGTCACCGGATGGTACACACCTTCGTGCTCCTGCATCAATGACGCTGATATGGCCCACTTGTTCGCGTAAAGCACGATTACAGGGGTGCGTTCCGGGTCGAAGTGCTTCAGGGCTGGCGTGGCAATACTCTTCGCCTTCAACATAGTGAAAGCGTTCTTCGCCCACCTATCGGGCTCGCCCCCCCCCCCGTTATTTGGCTATCATCGGTCCGCGTCTCCTCTGCGTCCATCTTGGTGATTTCATGGAAATCTGCTTCTCGCAGCTCGTACAAGATCGCGGCATAGACTGCGAAGTCCTCAATAAAGCGGCTGTAATAGTTCAAGCTTCCGATGAACGACTGCATCGCCTTCAGCTTGGTGGGGAACGGAACGTTGGAGATTGCGTCGAGATCCTTCGGTTTCGCTTCAAGCCCAGCTGAGGATACTTCGTGTCCTAGATACGCCACCTTGCGTCGACCCCAGTGCCTTTTGGCTACGCTGATCGACAAGTTCCATCGATCACAGACGTCGAGCAGTTTGTCGACACGGTTGCACATGATATCCCACGAGTCGCCGGTCACAAGGATGTCGTCCACATACGACCTCCGCCCGAGGACCGACGGCTTAGGTTCTGGCTCCCGATCTCCCTCCTCAAAGACGTCAACGGGGTTCGACTTATCCTGATCGGGCTTGATGCACATGTGACCATACAATGCATTGTCGACGATTCGTTGGTAGATCTGAGGAGCGTCCTTTAACCTGAACAGCATCCTCGTCCACTCGAACAACCCGAACAGTGTGATGAACGCTGACACCAGCCTTGCTCGCGGGGTCATTGATACCACCCAGAAGCCACTAGCCATATCTAGGGAACAGTACCAGAGCCACTTGTCCAAGTCTCCAAGGAGGTCGTTAATCAACGGCATGGGGTATACCATCAGCCTCGTAAGACTGTTCACTACCTGGTAATCGATGCAGAGGCGGATGCACCTTGAAGATGACTACGATGGATGACGCCCAAGGTGAGGTGGAGGTAGTGATGATCTTTGCCGACAACAGTCCCTTGATGAGCATTGACAGCTTCTCGCGGAATTGTGGTGCTACCCGTCGACATCGCTGGGCTACCGGCTTTGCCGTTCCGACATCAATGTCGCAAATAGCTCCGAAGGCGGCCGGTGGTAAGGCGTTACCAGCTCCGATCAGCAAGTGGCGTCGCTTCCAGATGATGCGACGTAGTCGCTCGCGTTCCTCCGGTGTTGCGTGTGGATCATCTACTTGTATGTCGTCGATGGTGACTTCCTTCGTGGTAGCCTCCACTTCCGGCAGGACAGCCATGTTGATCTCGATGTCTTCAGGGAAGATATCTCCACCTTCATGGTAGCAGACAGCATCGTCCATGTCATCGTCAGCTTGCTCCTTCGGTTCAACTTGTGTCCCTCCCAATTGCATTGATTGAAGCTGTTCTCGATCACGCTTGGTCTCTCCCTTTGGTTCCGTCGTAATGATACGAATTTCTTCCTTCGGTTGAGACTCTGCCGACTCTTCGCCCGCGATATCTTGTACACTGGTCGACTCTTTCTCAGACGCCGGCAGAACGATCATCGCCTTCGGGCGTTCTTGTCTACCCGATAAGGTCTTGGTCGGCGGCTCGTATTGAGCCCTGTCCACCATTGGTTCTGTCGCAGTTCCGACCACATCATTCACAACCTGTTGTTCAGAGGTGGCTTGCAACGCCAAGTTTTGCCATTCAGCGTATCTCCGGGACCTGATTGAGACAAACCCTGGCATCCACGGTACGTGGTCTCCTGCCAGCCAGATACCAACTCGAGTATCGCGTT